GGGGGGGGGGGGGGGGAAGGAGAGGGGGGAGCACTGTGGGCGATGCGCTCTGCGAGATGTGGGTTGTGAACGAGGAGAAGTAGGTAGGATCACCGCATGTGGGTCAAATTGGCGCGCAAATGTGAGGGAATTGGCGCGCAGTGTATGATGCTCGGTACTTTCCACGCTTGGGCAACGGTTGAGAGAGGCTCCTTGTCTTGCTACTGATAGAAGGAGAAGGAGGGAAGAAGAGGGGGCGGAGGAGAAGGAGAGAGGAGAGGAGGGAAGAAGAGGAGGGAAGAAGAGGAGGAGGAGGAGGAGGTCGAGAAAGGGGAGTAGGGAAGAGGAGGGGGAGGAGGCGAAGGTGGAGGAAGGAGAGGAAGGAGAGGAAGGAAGACGAGGGGGATCCTTTATAATAAGGTGAATGTGGGGATTGGGATTTGAAGCGATGCGAGAGGGAAGCGGCATGGAGTTGCACTGGTGATCGGAATGAGGGAAGTTGAAGGAGAAGAGGGACGTGCACAAAGAGGAGGAGATAGGGAGAGCAAGGAGAGGGGGAGGGAGGAGCGAGGAGGGAGAGGAAATGGGAAAAGGAAAGTTGAAACTTTGGGTCGAGCTAATGATGTCTAGAGTGAGAAGAGAAAATATACTTTTTGTGTTGCGCTCAGCGGCTGTCAGCAGTGTGCATTCCTTCCTTCCTTCCACCGCCCCCTTCTCGCGTTTCTCCTCACGTCCTCTTCTCATCCGCTTTCCCCTTTTCCTCCTCTTTCCCCTTCTCTTCAGCCGTGTGCTCTTTGCACCTCTCCTTCCTCTTCTCCTCCTCCGTCTTCCTCTCCTCCGTCCGCTCCTCCCCGTCTCCGACTCCTCGTCCTTTTTCCCTCCCTTTTCTCCTCCTCCCTCTCTTCCCCCTTCTATGGCTTCTCTTCATCTTCCTTCCCCCTTCTACGGCTTCTTCTTCCTTCTTGGTCTCTTCGACCTTGTCGTCCTTGCTGGTCCAAAGCCGTCTCTCTCTTTTTTTTTTTTCTTTTTTTTCCCTCTCTCTATTGGCTGAAATCGCTGAAGACTTCTGTGTACCGGAAATAGAAGAGGAAGATAAAACTCCTCTGTGTGTGTGTGCGTGTTTGAGAGAGAGAGAGATTGAGAGAGAGAGAGAGAGAGAGAGAGAGAGAGAGAGAGAGAGAGAGAGAGAGAGAGAGAGAGAGAGAGGATACGACGTGGTGCGATATGTTTGGTTAATAAACTTGTGCTCTCATTCACGCGTTTGATTTCCAGCAGGTAAAGAAAGCCGCAAATCATTGACACGCAATTCCCAGCAGTTGGCCTGACTACTGTCCATTACAGCATTCTGTGTGTGGATGATCTAAGAAGAAGGAAACGATGGGGTCAAGGCCAGAGCTTCAGGCCCCACCTGATGTCTATTACAACGACAAGGAGGCGAGGAAGTATACCACAAGCTCTCGGATTATAGAAATCCAAGAGAAGCTGACTCAGCGTGCGGTCGAGCTATTGAATTTGCCCAAGGATGGGGGGCCCAGGCTTCTCCTTGACCTCGGATGCGGATCTGGACTCAGTGGAGAGTGCTTGTCGGAACTTGGTCATCATTGGATAGGTTGGGACATTAGCAGGCCGATGCTGGAGGTGGCGATGGAGAGGGAGGTGCAGGGAGACCTCCTCCTTCATGATCTTGGCCATGGATTAGGTCTGCGGTCTGCTGTCTTCGACGGCGCCATTAGTATATCTGCCATCCAATGGCTTTGCAACGCCGACCGGTCGTCCGATGGACCCCATCAACGGCTGAAAAGGTTTTTTCAGTCCTTGTACAGGAGCCTGGCAAAGGGAGCACGTGCTGTCTTTCAGTTCTATCCTCAGGGACAGAAACAGATTGAGCTAATTACCACGTCAGCCATGAAGGCGGGCTTTTCAGGAGGATTGGTGATTGATTACCCGCACAGCACGCGCGCCAAAAAGTACTTCTTGTGCCTGATGGCGGGACCGCCGCGGGCGGATGCGCCGATGCCCAAGGCGAAGGGGTTGGATGGGAGAATGGAGGTGGATGAGGAGGAGAGTAGCGATGGGGAGGAGGGATCCGATGAAGCAGAAGACGACGAGGTTGATGGATATGGCGGAACTGTCAAGGTTGAAGAGAGAGTCCGTGCGCTTAAGCGCAGGAAGAGCGATGGGAAGAGGGTCAAGGGTCGGGGTTGGGTGCTGTTGAAGAAGGAGCAGCGCAGGAAAAGGGGGGTTACCGACGTGCCTAGAGATACGAAATACACTGGGCGGAAGAGGAAAGCACGGTTCTGATTCTTGAAAAAGCAAAACGGAAAAGAAGATTAGGCTCTTTTCTCGTTTTCTTTTCCCTTTCCTTTCTCTTCTTTTTCTTTGGCTGTCATATCTCGAACGTCTTCATTGTTGTAATGAAGAGTTGTCCCTCTGTGTGTGTGTGTGTGTGTGTGTGTGTGTGTGAGAGAGAGAGAGAGAGAGAGAGAGAGAGAGAGAGAGAGAGAGAGAGAGAGAGAGAGAGAGA